TCTGGGCTCCCCAGTACAAAACAGACAGGGATCTCTTGGAAAGAGTCCAGCAGAGGGCCACAAAGATGGTAAAGGGCCTGGAGCATCTCTGCTATGAGGAAAGGCTGAGTGAACTGGGTCTGTTCAGCCTTGACTGAGAGGGGACCTGATCCAGGTCTACAAATATCTGAGGTGTGGGAGGCAGAGTGGCAAGGCTGGACTCTTTTCAGCAGTGTGTGGAGACAGGATGAGGGGAAGCAGCCAGAAACTGCAGCAGAGGAAGTTCTGCACAAATGTGTGCAAGAACTTCTTTAGGTGAGGTGACGGAGCACTGGAACAGGCTGCCCAGGGGGGTGGTGGAGTCTCCTTCTCTGGAGATATTCAAGACCTGCCTGAACACCTACTTGTGTGACCTGGTGTAGGGAACCTGCTTTGGCAAGGGGTTGGACTCGATGACCTCTGGAGCTACCTTCCAACCCCTACGATTCTGTGATTCTGTAATTTCGATATATTTCAAGATTCACTATGACCTTCATATTTTCACTGTCTTCTGGGATTATTGTTGAAGTTCTTGTTGAGATTGCTCAGTTCCAGAGCTTCCAAATATATTTTATAATACTACGTTATACTGCCATAATGTAGAAATTCTTCCCTAAGTTAAAATGATATGAGGTAGACGATAGGCAGCATTAATTCCTGTACCAGTGAGAATTTCAAGGTCCAATAGTTTGGGTACTGTTAGAAGGAAGATTGATAATGCATTATATCAAACTAGTGCTAAGCATCCTCATGATGTGATACAGTCCACTGATTCTACTGGTGGCAGGCCGTAAGATGGTAGACCTTATAACCTTGACATTACACATGTACAAGTTTTAAATAGCTTTTTCATAAGCTCTAGAATGAGCTAATTGAAAACTCTCCTTTGTTTCCATTTTAGTTGAGAAGGTGGTAGCAATACAGAATAGTTTTGCAGAATAGGTAGGACAAAAATGAAAGGAACACAGAAATCCATTCTAATTTATTAACTAGATTTCAATTAAAAAGTGTTACAGTGCAATCAGTAACTTAATGGCATATATAAATGCAAATGACTTCTGTTAGTCATTTTGAAAAGGAAAATGTATTTTGCAAAGGTAATATATTTCAAGTTACTCCTTATATTACACTGCATCTTTTAATGCACTGAGAATTCTAAGTTCAGTTTGCATAGATACAGGAAATAGTTACTGAGAAAATAATTCTATTAAGTGTGTGCAAAATAAAAAAAAAAATTATGATTTTATCTAATATTCCAAGCTTTTGCTTATAAGCCTCTAACAAGTCAAAACTCACAGTGCTCTTTCTTTCCTAAACCTACTTACACTACACAATTCGTCTCATCTTTCTAGTTTTCTCCTATGTTTTGCAACCTCTCAATTTTCAAAGTTTTTTTTTCTCCCTTTTCTGCAGACATAGCAGGGACAGCAGGAATTAATCAACCCTGCAATAATTTCAATGTTATGTGTTCATGAGAAATTGTACTGCAGAGAAACTTATGTCCTTTGCTTACAAAGAGAAGAAGGCAGAAGAGTCTACAGTCTCTTTGGCCTTCTTGTTTTTTATTTCTTTACACAGTAATAAAATGAGAGCATTTTTCACAGCTACCATAATTCAAAGCATTGAGAAGGTAGAATAAGAAAGGCCACCCATGGAAGGAACAGTTGGGATGTTGGGAGTCACATGTTTGCACACCTACTCTGTAATCTCAGGCTTCTGACTTTCTGATTGTGGAGATAAAATCAGAGCTGTAGCAATTACATAAATCAAAGATTCACTAACATAGACTCTAGGGCTTCAAAATTATATACGTTTTAAATACGAGTTTGCAAGAAATTGACAAACCTGCAAGTAATCACTGAAAACTTATTTATCAAATTGACAATTTCTTTAATAAAAGCTAACTATTCTTTTGTCTGTTTACTTGTTTTAAATCAAGCCCATTTAATTAAATCAAGCTCTCTTTGCTTACACTAATGAGAAATGAGGATTAGAGCAGGAACAATAGGCAACATAGAGGATAGGAAGCTCAACAGATTAAGAGAACAGTTACCTTTTGTAAGCAATTTATATTTAGTTAGTCAATTTTGGACTTCCTCTTTATGAAGTGCGTGTAATAATTATTACATCAGTGGAGACTTACAGTGGAAACTAGAATGCTGTAAAAATATGAGAAACATCCTCACATACTAAAACAAAACACAGAATACCTTAAACATATGTCCTTAAGTTTTCAGATCCATGTTTACTATTCCATGAAATTTCAGTATCGTTTGCCTAGATCACTAGTTATAGGATTTGCATAGAAAGTGATAACAAATATTAAGAGGATGTTTCTGTTTCTGAAACTCCTAAGAGCTGATGAAAATATTAAGCTCTTTGGTGTGCATCTTTCCATTTGCAATACTTATGGAGGAAACTACAACCCTCTTAATAACATGATGTGACTGTGCAGTCAATCAATGTCTCAGTGAATAGAATACAATATACTATCCAATCTACTGAAGTATTTTTCCAGTCTAGAGTAAAATGTCATGAAAATAGCAAAGAAATTTAAAATTGGATTGGAGAGTAGAATTTTCAGAAGTACATTTACTCAGAATAAGAGTTTGAGGCTCGAAGAGAGGAGAGCATTTTCCTTTTAATGACTTGAGCATAGTGTGGTTTAAACAGCATATTCAATTGGGGAACTTATTAGCTGATAATGACTCTTGGGAGAAAAAAAGATATTACTAGTTTCATTAGTATTGTCTGTAATTCCATGATGTAAGAAAATAATTCAACATTAAATCTGAGCTATTTTCCATCATTTATAGAAGCAGAAGTATAAACACACTGAAGGTACAGTTCCCTTGTTAGACATAGTAATGAGTATTGTAGTAATTTTACTGGTACTAGCATAAGGAAAGTAAAATGTTCATATAGAAACTTCAGTTTTGAGAAGTACATACGCTAAACTTCGTCATATTAAAAGACGGATAGCAACAGTCTAATTCAGTGAGTATTTAAACAAAGAGATGCAAGAAAAGTAAATAAAAACAGAAGTCTAGTAAACTAAAAGGAGAAATAATCATAAAATTAATGATACTCTTGCCCACATGGCATTATATGTACATACGTGTGTGTGTGTGTATATATATACATATATATATACATATATAAGTTTTTCCAGTAGCCTTTTTTTTTCTATTTTAGGAGAAGTAATAGAAACTAGATGAGCTTAGCTATGATCATGATACAACAGGACTAAACATAAATGATAAGCATTGTTTTAAGATTAAACTTCTCCCTGGCTTCCTTCAACAGTAAGAAAGTGAAAACAAAAATTAAATGATGCAATAGCTATTAAAAATTCTGTTCAGACACACTGTAAGAGAAAGAATTAGATTTGTTAAAAAGCACATAATGAAGTCCTCTGAAGTAAAGTAACTCCTGCCCTTTTCTTGAGACATCATATAATGTTAATCTATTTTCACTCATAAGACTTCTAAATTTCCAAAGCAATAAAAGATGTCGTGCACTAGCCTGCAGACCTAAAACTGAAGAAGCTGCTGATGCTACTGACAGGCCATGTGCTTTGCATGAATTCAGAGAAGGAACAGGACTAGAACTATTTTCCCTAACTTTGTCTTTGGCTTCTGTTTAAGTCACCTTGTTGTAATAGCAACTGGGGAAAGGGATTCATATGTGGAAGCGTGTAACAGTAACTTTTTATTCTCTTTTTGCCTCTTTGCCAAAAAATGTGAAGTTCCTGTAGTACTGGAAAAATCTGAACATCAGAAGATATTGCAATTGTGGGAAATAAGTTAAATCAAAAAAAGCAAACCAGAACTCTTGTAGTTTTGCTCCATAGAGCTCCATGTGTAAGTGATCATTTTTTCCACACTGTCTCAAAACTTGCTGAGGAACACTGATGGAAACATCCTGGGCAAAGGTTGAGAAATCCTTTGCCTGAGGGACACAGGTGGAAAAGTCTAGGCAAGTCCTGGTGAAAGTTGGCAAAATCTTTTGTCTGAAGATTTGCAGGACAAAGGCAACGAGAGATAGATAAACTGCTGCTTAATGGCCATGAAGAAGTCTTTTTGTGTGGGCTTATCTCGAGGGAGATAGCATCATCTCGGGATGTACTCCGCATCACTGACCCAAGTGCCCAGGAATGCCACAATACAGAGAAAGAAGGATAAAAAAGGGACCAACAACCATGAACGTTAGGTGCCTGACATCAGAAGCCTCTCGAGGTGATGCCTGCATGCTGATGTACTCTCCAGGGGCCTGCTACTTGAGACCTGCCTCTTCCACCTGGACTTGCTCTATGCTCTACCTGCTTGCCACTCTGCTGCTGCTCTCCCCCTGCGCTCTTGCTTCAGACCATCAGAATGGTGTGCAACAGGACGCTGCTAGGTCTTGGTGGTGACTATCCCTGCTTTATGCAATTCTTGATTCTTTCCTCACTTTCCTATTGCCCGCTTTCCCTTCCCCATCACTCTAACTCATCATAGTCACTGATCTCCCCTTCCCCATTTCCCTGATTGATTAAGATTTGTAATAAATGGTCAGACCAACATTTGAACTGTTGTTTCTTAATCTTACATCGGCTATACACATATCAAAGAACCTCCACTCACTCCTATTAATTGGAGTGAGACATCATGACTTCGCAAATGTTTCTTTACCTTATGAACATTTGTTTGTCCTTTCAGCTGAAGTCAATTATGCAACTGTACTGTGTCACTTCATTAACTTTATAAATTAGACCCAAGCAACAAGTTTTTAATGGTTTTTTTTTTCTCTCTCTCTGTGGTGTAATTACTGTAACATGCAATGAAAAAGAAATTCATTCTGTTTATGAAAACAAGACAGCTAAAATTTTGTTGAAACAAAAAGTACCATTAATGCTTTACAGAAAAGTATTTTCATATTAAAAAAAATCATGCACTGCTTTTTCTCAAAGATGTGAACGTAAAGTTGAGAGTGCTCCTTACCTCCTCTCTTGTTTAACTTGGCATACCCGGGCACATAGCTGCTTGTCATTGATGATGAACTGCTGAAGGAGGAGTGGGGTAATGCTGAGACCAGGGGTTCATCACACTTTTCTGAAACACAGGAAAAAATATATTTTTTTATGCTAATACATATTCATAGACGTTAAGGAGCAATGCACCCTTTATTTTTATTTTGTGTAGTAACACAACTGTGTCACCTGTGTATGTGCAGAACGCATGTGGATACATCCCACCATTTCAGTAAAAACTTGTTTAACCAGGCAGGTGGCTCAGAACCACATAGTTGTTCACTCACTCCACCTCTTTATAGTGGGACAGAGAAGGGAATAAAATAAATGAAAAAAAAGTAGAGCTCGTGGATTGTGATAAAACGATTTACTAAGACAGAGAAAGGGAAAACGGAAATAGTTTTCTCCCTCTCTCTCTCTCTCTCTCTCTCTCTCCCTCCCTCCCTCTCTCTCTCTCTCTCTCTCTCTATATATATATATATGTACATAAATGTATGTAACAAGTGATGCAGAAATAATTGCTTATCACACAACATCCTCTCCCCCCCAAGTGGTGCCCAGCTAGCCCTCTGAAAAACAAAAGAGAGCAAGAAGAACTCCTACTCCTTTCAAAATCCCTTCTGCTTTATACCATGTGGTATGGAATTTGCCTTTGGCCAGTTTAAGTCAGCTATCTTAATTCTGTTTCTTCCCAACTCCTTGGGCCCTTTGCTGCGAATGGCCTTGAACCTATACGACACAGCTTTGAAGGCAGCTATAAGCACTGTTTTTCTCCTAGAACCAAAACAGAAGATCATTTCAGACACTCTGAAGAAAATTAATCCCAGCTGAAATTAAGAAGAAGCACAAGAACAAAGAACTAAGAATAAAGAGTTCAAGAAAGTTATGACAAAATTATCTAATGGTGATGCCTGCCATGGACAACCACTGCCTGTAAGGATATGTAATATAAACAACAACAAAAAAAACCATAATAATTCCTGTCTTTATTTATCTAGAATGCTTTTGATAATATGCAAACATAATGCTTAAGAAAATTACCATGAAATCTTTGTGAGAAGTAGATAGGATACTTTCAGTTCTGAAATAAAAGTGCTGACAACCGCTTACCTTAATAGCGAAAATAAATTAGGGCATGTGAATAAATGACTATGAATTATTGCACATTACAGATTTACTAAAAAAAGGAAAATAATCTTTTTCTTAATGTAATCTCTATAACTCACTTGAGAACTTCATTAATATTTTACTTAATATAAAGAAGATTAATGTATTATTTGCATCTAAGATGATAAAAACCCAAAATCGGAATGCTGGTTTTTCTTATAAAGAAAAAAATTAAACCAAATCTCTTCCTGTGTTGTTTGAAATTATGCAAATTAGAATGGATAGAACTGGCTTTTGATTTTTCAAATATTTAGGTCAGATAAATTAAGTACTTCCCTTTATTCTAGTTTAGTCATGAGTTACTCCAACAAACATGTGAAATTCCAAGGTTAATTTACTCATTTACATTTCTAATATGAGACATTACACAAGAAAAAACGTAGCTTGTACCAGTCATCTTCATTAATCTTTTTAAATATGCAGAATGCAATACAGGCTCTGCTACAAATGGAAACATCCTCAATTTATGCATCCAGAAAACACTACTCTTTCCTGATAGGCGGTATAATTAATACTCAACAGCATGTGATTTTGGTGCAATTATACAATTATGAAAAAAAAAAAAAACCGAAAAAACATAAGAAGTCTTAACTGCAAGAAAAATAAAATTATGTATTAAGAAACAACACAGCAGCTGAAAAAACAAACACACAAACAAACAAAAACAACTCTCAAAACAGTAGAACTAATCAGAACTTATCAGAACTTCTTTTACTGATCTCAGAAACCATAAATAAAATCTTTTTTATTTTGATAGTGATTGTTACTACTGTTGATGAGGCCACAAAAAAGGAAATATTTAAACTTGTATGGAAATAGAAATAGCTTTTAAATCATCATTCACTGTACATTCTACCTTGTCTCTTTGATTCATTAATCTATCCCACTAGATTCAAAATAATGGTATAAATAAGCTTGATACAGACAAAAAATAAAAATGAAACTTTGTGAGGACTATAATTGCATTTGTCAGTCGTCAGTGTTGTCACAATTGTTACAGCCATGCATGTGTTTCATCATTGCATGTCGGCTTTAGAACTATTGAATGTGGATGTCTCCTGTCTTTGTCTTAGTTTAACCAAAATGGCCAACAATGGGGGTAAAAAGAGTTGATACTTTCCTTCATCATTATCCAGAGATACATTTGCATCCTATGACACCCTTTGAAGACCAACTAATAAACTAAAAAAATCAAATAAAAATGCCTGACTTTGTCAATGTTTAAAATACCATCCAAGGGCATCCTCCGCATCTCTGGGCAGCCTGCTCCATTGCCTCACTGCCCTTGTTGTAAAAAAACCTTCTTCCTTAATATCCAATCTAAATCTCTCCTCTCTCAGTTTTAAACCATTTCCTATTGTCCTATCACCACAGACTCTGCTAAAGACTCTGTTCCCTTCTTTCTAGAAGCCTCCCTTTGGATACTGAAAGGTTGCCATCAGGTCTCCCAGAGCCTTTTCTTCTTCACACGAACAGCCCCAGATCTCTCAGCCTGTCCTCATAAGGAAGATCCTCCATCCCTTGTATTGTTTTTGTGGACCTATTCTGGACATGCTCTAACAGGTCTGCCTCTCTTCTGTACTGAGAACTCCACATCAGTACACAGTACCCCAGGTGAGGTCTCACTAGGTCAGAGTAGAGGGACAGAATCACCTCTCTTGACCTGCTGACCATGCTTTTTACGATGCAGCCCAGGATGCCGTTGGCTTTCTGGGCTGCGAGAGCACATTGCTGGCTTGTGTTCATCTTGCCATTCACCAGTATCCTTAAGTATTTTTTTTGCAGGGCTGTTCTCTATCCTTTCATTTGTATTGATAGTGGGGGTTGTCATGGCCCAGGTGCAACATCTTGTACTTGGATTTGTTGAACCTCATGAGATTCACATGGACCAAATGCTGAAGTCTGTCTCAATCTCTTTGAGTAGCATCCCGTCCCTTGGGTTTGTTGACTACGCCACATAGGTTGGTATCATCTACAAACTTGCATTCAAGCCCACTGCTGATGTAATTGATGAAGATGTTAAAGAGCATACACTCCAGTACTGACTCCTGAGGGACACCATTTGTCAATTATCTCCCTCTGCACATTGAGCGATTGACCACTACTCTGAGTACAATCTTGCAACCAGTTCCTCGTCCATCAAAGAGTCAATACCCATTAAATGTGTATCTTTCCAATTTGGAGAGAAGAATGTTAGGAGGAATCGTGTCAGAGGCCTTACTGCAGTCTAATTAGATGACATCAGTGGCTCTTCCCTTATCCTAGTTGGGATAATGTTCCTGCAACTTCTGCTTATGTATTCCTGGGACTTGGGATTGTTCAGCCTGGAAAAAAGATCAAGAGGGGATCTTATCAAATATTTAATTGTAATTAAGTGTCAAAAGACTGGGACCAGGCTTTTTTCACTGGTGCCCAGAACAAGGGGCAACCAGCCCAAATTGGAACACAGGATGCTTCTTCATCTGAATGTGAGAAAAACTGATCTTTGCTTTGAGGATGACAGAGCACAGGGACAAGGTGCCCAGAGTGGTAGTAGGTTTTCCTTCTCCAGAGATATTAAAAATGCATTTCTGCAAGGCCTACTCTAGGGGATTGGACTAAATGATCTCTAGAGGTCTTTTCTAGCCTTTAAAATTCTGTGATTCCTGCTCTTGTTTGAGATACAGTCTAGTGAATTAAACACTGCAGCTTCCAGGTACATTGATATTTCTGTTGGTTGTTATTAGAGACATGCTAATTCCCCTATGAATTCGTTCAGTTTCCAGAGAAGATGTGCTACCCCATGACTGCTTTTCACAAGTGCTTGGTAGTCTATTCTTTTTCCTGAGCATGTTATGGGCAGATCACTCTTTGTATTCCAACTGGAGAAGTCAGATGTGTTTAGGGTAACAAACATTAGCACAAATTAAACTCAGAAGATCTGATTATCTCCTTTGTTCCCTAACATTGACATGTTAGGGATACATGTTTTAAAACAGGAGTCTCATGCATTACGAGTAAGGATTAGAAGTTCCTTTAAACATCTATTTTCCCTTGCACTTGACAGGAATTTTCATGTAATTAATGAGTTGTCTTTACTAATAACAGTTAAGATGTGTGTGTGTGTGTGTGTGTTTGTAACTGAATGTGTTATGTAAAGGAGAAATGGTTAAGACTTTTCTCAGTCAGAAAGCTGTGGCTTTGTGTATTTCTTGACTGGGACATTTTTTAACATTACTTCAAACTGACTCACCTGTTTCACACTCAACTAGCAATTGCATATAGCTATTTTGGGCTCAGCACAATATTGCTGTGTTTACTCATCTTTTTGCAATAAAGTTGATCAGCTTCAAAAATTTTGAATTTTTTTTTTTTTAAGAAAGTCATATCTGGCATCATAATAATGCTTTAAGGATAGCATCCTAGAGGAACATTATGATAACTAATTATTGTTTGATAGGGAATTGAGACTGAAGATTTTAAAAGAGGGGTGAATTTGTGGAGTTTAGTTTTTTTTAAAGGGCAGTTTCTCAGTGCACTGTGGACCATAACAATAGGAAAGCCTACGATGTTTTATCAGAAGCATTCTTGATATGTTGCCATTTGTTGTTTTTCATGGATTCAATTCACAAATCCAAACTTTTTTTGGTTTTGAAAAAATTGTACATATCTTATTCTTTGCTAGATCTTCGGATGCAGCTTCAAACTATTAATAAAAAGTACCTGTGATAAGAAATGGGAGCCGTTTACATTTGTAAACATTTATGAACATATTGTTCTTAGGCATTCTAACTCACCGCTAGATATTGATGTCAAAAACATTCAGATGAACTGCAGGTTGCCCTTTTCATTTTCTCAAACAGACCACTTTGGTAAGATATATATCAACAACTTTACAGGTGATCCATTTGTTGATGAGGATGCTAAACTTTTGAA